TTTTTTTTTTTTTTGTGAGACAGGGTTTCTCTGTGTAGCCCTGGCTGTCCTGGAACTCTCTCTGTAGATCAGACTTTCCTCGAACTGAACCTCCTGGGTGCTGGGATTAAAGGCGTGCTCCATCACGCCCGGCTACTGCCTGCTATTTTCTTTTCTTTTTTTTCTTTCCTTTCCTTTTCTTTCTTTTTTCTCTTCTCTTCCTTTCCTCCTTTCCTTCCTTTTTAAAAAAGATTTATTATTTTCTGTGTATGAATACCTGAATGTATGTATATGTACTACGTGCCCATGGAAATCAAAAGAAGGTAATGAGTCCCTTGGAACAGGAAGTTCGGATGGTTACTATATGGGTACTGGGAATTATACAACCAGTACTCTTAACCAGTGAACCATCTCTACAGACCCTCTTTTCTATTTGCAATAGTTGTAGTGGTCTTGATTCATGGACACTTGGGAAAGATCACATACATATCATGTAACAATTTACAAAAGATTTAAATATATATATATTTAAATATATATATAAAAAAAACTGAGTAGAGAAATGTCAATAGTAATTAGGGATCACTACATGTGCAAGCAGAGTGGCGCAGCGGAAGCGTGCTGGGCCCATAACCCAGAGGTCGATGGATCGAAACCATCCTCTGCTACAAACTTTTCTTTTCAAGAAATAGATGCTGTGTCGGTTATTCAGGGACCCGTGTAGTGTGTGAAGGAATGTATTTTGATTCTTTCTTATCTGAGCACATCTCTGAGTGTAACAGAGGATACTTAATTCTGTAGATTAGTTTGATCAAAGATCAAAAGTACTGGGGTGTGAGTCACATCTCTGCTGCAGGTAGAGATAATTTAGTGATGTTCCCTTAAGGAAAAATATGTATAAAAGTACAGTGCCAAAGTTAAAGTCTAGTCTATATGTACTTTATAAAATGAAATTTCTAAAATATAAAAACAACATACAGAAATCCAATGAAGGAGAGAGTTGGGTTCTCCAAAAAGAGTGAGCTTACCGAGCCAGCCAGGAGTCGAACCTGGAATCTTCTGATCCGTAGTCAGACGCGTTATCCATTGCGCCACTGGCCCGCCCATACAGCACTTCCCCTATAGAAAAAGGATTATTACTAAATGATCATTGCGAAGCTCCGGACATTAACTTGTAAAATATTTTATTTCTTCCCAAAGAAGGTGGAAAACTAAAGCGAATTGAAGTTTGACTAATTCCTTTCAGTTAATTTACTTTTGTTCAATTTCGTCTTGAGAAAAAACATTTCAAATTTACTTGTGAAACACCAGGCAGAAAGTTTATATGTGTAACAGAGAAACTCTAGATTTGAAATAATTTGTGCAATATGCTACACAAGTTTTTATCCTTTGCAGGGAAACTCACTTTGCTGTCATTTATAAAATCTCCTCGGAGGGATTGTTTACGCCAAATCTTATACAGTGTTGTAAATCACAAAAGCCCACTTCCGTAGTCGGCAGGATTCGAACCTGCGCGGGGAGACCCCAATGGATTTCTAGTCCATCGCCTTAACCACTCGGCCACGACTACAAGTGCCTTAGTTGCTGTTCTATACTCTCTATTTTAATGTATATCACATACTGAGTACCCGTCTGACCTTACTGAGGATTTATTAGTTGAATTAAAGGCCTATCAGTGGAACAGGAGAAAATTCAATCAAGTTTAATTCCATGCGTTTAGGTGGGAAGTAGAGGAATGTTGTTTGATTTCTTCAGAAAACAAATCAACAACACGTTCCTGTTTAAATATCGTCACAAGTTTTGGCTTGTAGGGAATTTTTCCTCATACATTCCAGAACCTTTAAATGTCACACATTTTGGGTGTGGCAGAGATTTTTTTTTTTAGAGATTCACATCTACGACCAGTTAGTCCAGTACTTGCAATAGAGCAAAAGTTTGATAACCGTTAGCTGCCATTAAAATTAGTATTTTTAAATTCCATCGAAATATTTTACAGGTATACTGAGTGAAGTTAGAAAACATTACTGATGATCAAGTAAATCCTCCTCATGAGGGATCTTCTGTCATAGAAGGAAGAGCGGCGGTATCTGATAGTCTGCAGATAATAGTTTAGAAATACAAAGACCATCCCCAATGATAGGACAGAACCCCATAAACCTCTCACATTTCTGCAACTTCACCACCATCGCCTGTGTGCCTGCGTGCCTGCTTGCCTGTGTGCCTGTGTGCCTGTGTACCTGTGTGCCTGTGTGCCTGTGTGCCTGTGTGCCTGTGTGCCTGTGTGCCTGTGTGCCTGCTTGCCTGTGTGCCTGTGTGCCTGTGTGCCTGTGTACCTGGGTGCCTGGGTGCCTGGGTGCCTGTGCACGCACTGGTGAGAAAACAGGGGCTTCTGGATTTCATCCACAGGTGAGAAACCACTGCACAAGTTTTCATGTTGGCTGAAAATCGCTGCTCTCCGCCCGGCCCTCTCTCCTCGGCTCCAGAATACTTAGGTGTTCTAGTTACTCCTTGTTTGTCTACACACATTCTCCCAAGCAACACCCTCTGCCTCCAAAAGCTCATTCCTCCCAGGTGTGGTGGACCATGCCTATAATCCCAGCCACCTGGGGGACTAAGGCAAGATGATAACTGAATTGGGGATTAGCCTTGGCTGCACAGAGGTCAGCCTAAGCTACATAGTGGTGCCCTGTCTCAAAGGAATCTAAAAAGGCAAACAAATATGGCCCCAACTTTCAAGACTTTTTAGTATAAACGATTACAGAAGTAAGTGGTTAAAATGACAAGTGCAGGGCAGGGAGACGGCGGCTCAGCAGTCAAGGTCCTCACCACCACGCCTGAGGACCTGAGTGTGATCCCTAGGACCCACATGGTGGGAGGAGAGCTGGCAACTCCTGCAACTTGTCCTCTGACCTCCACACAAGCACTGCGGTAATGCCCACCCCCACCAAAGAAATAAATGTAATTAAAAAGATAAAATGAAGCTGGGCGGTGGTGGCGCACGCCTTTAACCCCAGCACTCGGGAGGCAGAGCCAGGCGGATCTCTGTGAGTTTGAGGCCAGCCTGGGCTACACCAAGCGAGTTCCAGGAAAGGCACAAAGCTACACAGAGAAACCCTGTCTCGAAAAACAAACAAACAAACAAACAAACAAACAAACAAAAAAGATAAGATGAAATGAATAATGTAGTGTGCTCTCGTAACTGAGAAACATACGCTAGATCCCAACTACAAAGATCTTGTATGTTTCCTAGAGTGACTGTAAACAAACCCCAAGGTACACGAAGACAGGTTCCA